ATGAGTCTGAGGGTTTAGAGGTTTAGGGTTTAGGGTTAGGGGTTTAGGGTTTAGAGGTTTAGGGTTTAGGGGTTTAGGGGTTTAGGGGTTTAGGGTTTAGAGGTTTAGGGGTTTAGAGGTTCAGGGGTTTAGGGTTTTGGGGTTTAGGGTTTATGGATGGTTGAGGCAGCGTACTTGGGGATGCGAGCGTAGGATATCTTACTTGGGGTTTGCGGGGCTTAGGCTACACGCTTAGGTCTCACTTACCAGGGGTTCCAAAGTTAGGATCCTTTACAGGTGTAGTTGATGGATTGGGCGGTTTTCCTACCCGCCACTGGTGGTGTGGTTAGGGTATGTAGGCGCCAGAATATACTTACCAGTATTCCTCGTGGTCACGCTTCGTGGCACCCACCTAAATAACTGGCGTCAGGGCTCAAATTCGACAATTCAGTAAACCCTGAACACCAAATAAGCTATGGTTAAACTCCGGGTGTCCCCTTTAATAACCCCTCTATGTTACTGCCCTATGTATAATGCTTTATATAACCTCCCTTACAGTACGGAGTTTAGACTATAGCTCAAGTAAGTATAGCTTTGCGTCTTCCCCCCAAAAATTGAGCTCATATCTTTGAGGAGCTTGCTGTGCTCAAGTCAATCCAGTCAGGCATTAGGGTTTAGGGTTGACCTTCAAAACAGCGCTGCCCTTGCACAAAAACTGTTGTGCTATGGACCTTAAACTAAATCAGCAAGATCATCAAACATGGGCTTGTGGCACATAACAGCGTTTCCGTGTTATGGAGGCTTATCTTTCAGTTCCTTAACGGCAACCCAGAAAAAGTAGCACCGCCAGCCCAGCTCTTTAGTGCGAATTTCCGGCCTTAGCCCGGTTTAGGGTGAGAGGTTTTATTTATCCTTTCTCAACGTGTAGTACATGTACTTTCAGAGACCCTGGCTTTCTGTAACGTAATGCATCCGCACAACTACCTGACAGCAATTGTTTGAGTTCCAGTTTGATGCGCAAGCTACTGTCCTTTGAGGACTGCTTCAGTAATGTTACAGGGATGCCAGAGTTTTAGGATGTAGGGTTTAGGGTTTAGGAGGTTGTTCAAATCTAGCGGCTCGGGAATTCTTGTCTAAGGAGCTGAAGCAGCCAATCCACGTTCAGTTGTACTCATGAGGCCTGAGCATGCACAGGACAGTCCATTGAAGCACGACTTTGCAGTTTTCAAGCCCTCGAACCTTGGCTATGGCTAGCAGCAACTTCAGATCTATTACTTGCCCGTTGGCCCACTGCACTTGATCGAGAGCGCTTCCTGCTGACAGCCTTCTCTCTCACAAGGTAGTGAAGGCGGTTTAATGTGTTGCAGCGAGGCTGCGTTCGGGTGTGCCAGCATGCGGCCATTTCATGTAGCATATGCGATGGCCCCCCAGGCCCTAAACCCTAGTTCCTGCAAAGAAGCACAGCGGCCAAAGAGAGCAACCATGTAGAGGGGGGCAAGCATGGCCCGCAAGGGGACAGAATGACAAATGACATGCGATTCCATGCGAGGGCACATGCCTACTTGTCAATAGATATGTGAGCCCAAAATGAGCTGGGTCTTGCTTGGCAAATTACAATGACCTCAATTGCAAGGCTTTAATTCAGGCGTATTCAGTTAGCCAGTTCGGATATGGGCAGGGCTAGTTGTTGACATTATCCAAACCGTTTCTGCTGATTAGTGTTGTAAGCAGCCGCGCTTAGCTGCTGACAGCTGCGGATGGTTGGCATGTTGAACTGCATGCAATTGTCTGCCACATGTGTCACATGGGACGGCCCGGTGGACTTAGACTCATACATGGAGGGCGTGGATCGCGTGGATCTCGAGGAGGCGCTGCCACAGGAGAGACATGTGGACACGCGAGCCACCATGGAAAATTCGACGCAATCCCGTGAGGATCTGCGAGCAAATACAAAGACCTCCACGAAGTCAGATGGGGACCGGCGGACTAACACAAAAAAATCCACGAAGTCGCGTGAGGACCAGCGATCCGATACCAAAACCTCCAGCAAATCCCTGGCTTCGGAAGCTCCGGCACTGATTGTTCGGGGTGTACCGTTGCGCACCTGCTTATCAGGCTGGGCAGCAGCCTTTGCAAGCAACACGCCAGACTTGGAGCGAAGCTACACACTGAGCCAAATCACACCTACAATCGATGCCTTCCTGAGCCATGATTGGAAGACGCCAAGGTGGTCCAAGGCTTGCGCACTGCTTCTGCTCTTCAATGCGTTGCCAGCAGCGGTCACCTCCATGACGGCCAGCATCCTGTTGAGTGGGATGCTGGCCCTTGGCTGGCTCCCAGGTGGTTGGCCAACTGCCAGTGCTGTGTTTTGGTTAGGCTTTGGGATGTTTGAATCTTTGTTAGTTTGCTTAAGCATCCGGTATACTAGCATGTTCGAGAGGGTGCAGCCCAGGTGTCCTTTTTCTCATTTTACGTGGTCTTAGCCTTTTGGCAACGGATTCGTCGAGCACTCAAAGGAGCGGAGACCCTAGTCTTTCTGGACAGGCTGTGCATTGCACAGCACGATGATGGCTTGAAGCGGCAAGGAATTCTCAACTTGGGTGGAATATTGGCAAAATCTCGGAGACTCATCGTCCTTTGGTCGCCGCGATATTTTTCTCGGACGTGGTGCACCTTTGAGATTGCCAGCTTTCTCCGTGATGAGGCGATGTTAGGAAGAATGGATTTGGGTTTGCGGTGCCCTGAGAATTATGTTGCTACTGGAACTGACGGTACCTAAGAACCTTCAGTTTGCCAACCAGATTTTGGAGCAATCTGGTTGGGCTTCTTCTCCACATGAAATGCCAGTGCGCGTAAACGCTAACTCATCCAGCAAAGAATGACCCATCCAATGAAAATCCCTGAAAGGGTGAGATCCTTATCATAGTGGTCCTCAAGCAGCCCCCAATTTTTGGTCCCTAAACCCTATGTAATCTTATGCAGCCCTATGAGGCCAAAGTGAACTCCATCGAGTTTATGCCCGTTTCTTTGGCACTTCTCATGCATCTTGGCTGTTTAATGTTTATGGGGTTTAGCGTGTAGAGCTTCGTCTAGGGCCTGAGGCTGTGTAGGCCTTGGGGTTGGGAGCTTTTGAGGCATGCTGATTTGCTTCTCTTGCTGGAGGACTCCGTGCATGCTCAACAAGGATACCTTTCTTGAAGTTTTCTGACCTGCCCAGGTATGCTTCTCACGCAATTTCGGCAGTCTGCTTTGTTGCGTGGCAGGCTTGGGTGTATCTGGGCCAACGTGGCAGCTTCGATGGCGTAGCTGAATTCTATCACTATGAAACTTATCTAGCAAGCAAGAAGTTGCTTGGGGCTTAGGAATTACGAGAAGTAGTTGGGTCTTCATTGGATCTCCTAGCTTGTTACCTGTGTACTTGCTACATCTCTGCCTGTTGACATGAAAGGAAGATGCCATACTGGTGGGCATGATGTTCATGGCCCTTTCTGCCATGAGCGTATCGCCTGTGCAGACTTATTTTGGAATGGTGCATATGCAGGACATTGTTTCATTTTGAAGTATACCGTATGGCGGCTGTAGGTTGTATAGTGGGGTCTGGAGATTCAAGGCTGCATGACTGGGTATAGTTGTAAACTATTTCGGGGCGTATAAAAATGGGGGGCCGCGCTTTGAAGATTTTATATGTTGACACATATTCATGTATATATATATATATGTATTGTATATAGTGGACCCCTAGCTTTAGAAACATGATGTGCTTTGTTAAGAAGTTTCCACTTGCAGGAGTTGCTTAAGCTTCCTCAGCAAATGCGGGCCTTCAGCGTTAGGGCATCACAGTGCACGTGCTGTTCCATGGGTCACTGGGCGGCGATTTGGGATCATTGTCCATTTTCCTCCCCTGAGCTACAGCTATAGTTTGTACTCCTAGTATCCGCCTTAATGGCCCCTGTATTAATACCCTATATAACCTCCTATATAAGCTCCCTTTGAGGAGTTTAGACTACAGCTCACTTTTGGGATCCTGAGCTTACTAAGGGCCACTAGGCTTAGTGTTGCGACACCATGGGCCATAGGATCTCCAATCCGAATGGGCTATCAAAAACAAAGACCCAACTTCAGGAATCCTTAAGGGGGCACCCATAATACGGACTTCCTAAGACATGGGACGCCCTTAGGGCTTCCTTAAACGACTCAGGCCATGTTGATCCAGTGACCCGCGAACAGATGGTTTGCGACAGGGAGCTGGTTTTTGCCACGATGAGGAGATGGTTTTGGCGGGGAAACTTCCAGGAAGCTGGATCGCCTTTAGTAATATATATAGTAGTAATAATAACAGGGTACACATTGGGAGAATATGGGGATAATGGAAAAGAAAATGGAAACTACTATAGTATATTGGGGTTATATTTTGAGAAGTTTGCTCAACTCGTCGAAGAAATTAATACAGTACAAGCATTGGGGCAAAACTGTGTGTTATTGGCGGGAGCGGGAAGGTGAGGGAAGGCATGAGTCGGGAGAAGGTAAGTATTGGACATCTGTGCGTTTGCTGCAATTAACCAGCAGCCCATGTAGCACCACCTAAGCTGTTCTGCCATTTTGGACATCATTCCAAGCCACTGCCAATCTTACTGTAATTGCTCCTTCTTTCCAACATGATGGTTGTCCCAGGCAGCCCCAGATGGCGACGAAGATTACTTAGACCGGTTTGACACACTGGTCCGTGAGCGGTTGAGTGCTCATGTGCTTCGCGGTCTGGGATCAGGTCCCCCGTCTCGTTAATTAGCACTACTGCTGTGTGGTCGTTTGAGTTGTGCTGGTGCATTGTTTTGGCAACCCACTGTAGGCACTTTACCCTAGTATACACCCATTCGCACTTGCACATGGCTGGATTACACCATGGCCAGTTGAGAAGAGATGCTAACGGTTCGGGGTTATACAGGTGTATATGCGCGGATACACAACCCTTGCATGGCTTACCATGGACACTCATGTGTGGAGCTTACTCCTGCTATCCAGCTTGTATTTAAGCATGCTACCAAAAATTGACAGGGCATGGAAGCCAGCACCAGCCAAAGCCAAGAAAACAGACTTCCCCAACCAGTTGTGTTTGGCTGTGTGTGTTTGTAATGTTTTGGCTGCGTCTGGGAAAGCTTTTCATAGGCTTTTAATTAGAGCCGTTGTCCCTTAGGAAGATGATGCAAAAGAGGGGATGTCACAACGTTTGCCCTGTTCTTAAGCTGTATTAGTTTTGGTGTTCGACCTTCGCGAAAATCAAACAAGACAAATCTCACTGGTGGTTAGCAGGGAACAGGGGTGTTTCTATACGCAGAAATCTATCTATCCATCTCATATAAGGATTATGCAGGGATTAAGTCCCTTATACTCACCCCCGTACGTACTGGGACACTAAAAAGATTATGATTTCCAACGAGGAAACGAGGTTTCAACAACAAGCTGCTGCAGGCTGTTGCACAAACCTTGTGCTTATTGACGAGGGCCGTTTTCTAGATGGCTTTCAGCCAACCACACCTTTCTACCCGAGCTTTCCAGAGACAAGCCAAAAGATTGTCTCCTCAGGAGAACACATAAGCTTCTTCAGTCAGCCGAACCAGGAAAACCTAAGAAGAGCTGGTTTTCCTGAAGCTCTCATTCCTTTGTGGCTTTCAGATGGTATTGGGAACGTACTGCGGTCTTTTCAAAGGATGCTTTGTTTCTTCAAGTTAGCTGCTTTTCCAAGGAACTTCAGGAAGAAAGAGGAGCATCTTTTGAAGAAGCACTAAGATTTGAACCCTAAACCCTAAACCCTTTTGGAAGGTTCTGCTGGCTCACCTCTTCCTCCTGGTAGCTGCTAATGCCAATCCTAAGCAGCCCCGAATTGTTCAAACGTCTTTCCAACGGAGCTCTGGCAAAAAGTTACCGTCAGGGACAATTCCGCCAGTCCTTGAAGCATCCTGACTGTGAAAGAACTCTTTAATCATAGTTGGACAAACTCAAGTAGAATTTTGTCAGATTGTGGTGAGATGTGAATCTTGTTTCACGCTGTTCCTCATCAAGACGTAATTCCTGGAGAGCACTAAATCTTCAATGAAGCAAACTGGGCTCGAATCAAATTGGAGATATCCCCCATTCTTGTGGCCTAGATCAACACTCCATGCATCTCCCAAATGGCTGGAACCGCTGCACAGCGCTACAACCCGATATCCCAAAAAACTCGGTGCATTCAGGTACCCCGGCGTTTCGGTACGTTTTTGCCATGGTGGCCTCCACGTCCTTCCCAGTGTTGCCACAGCATCTGGTTCAGCCTTCAGTGGGAAATTCTGAAAGCAAGATGATGCCTTAAGGGAACCCTTGGTCTGGCTACGGTCTCCTAAAAAGGCCGCAAAGCCCTATGCTGTCAGGCCTCGAGGGTAGTGTGGACATCTGCTGGCAGAAGCAGCAGGTAGTAGCAGCAGTTGGCGGAGGAGGAGGAGGAGTCGAGGTAGGAACATGAGGACTAATGTTACCTGATGATAACCCCCAGATCTTGTTCTGCGTGTTGGGTCTACCCGGGGAGGGAGGGGGTCAAAATGATAAACCCGGGGTCGGGGCAGGACTAGGCAGTGCTACTAGTAGCACAAATAGAAGGCTTATCATAAAGCAATTGGAGTCTTCCGAGATGTTTTCTGGCCCATTCAGCCAAATGTGACTGTCGCTTGATTTATTGTTTTTAGGTTAACATTAGGCGTAGGAGTAGGGTCGGACTAGAAGTGGGGGCAGGAGTAGGAGTAGCAGCAGAGGCGACGGGAGGTGCGGGAAAAGGAGGAGGACTGGGAGGAAAACAAGGAGTGCAGTCACCGGAGTAGCAGCAGCAAGTCAGAGGAGGAAGACCTAAACCCTAAACCCTAAACCCTAGAGGAATAGACGAAAGAGGCGTATCTTTGCTGAGGCAGCTTCAGTAGGTGCTGTAGCAGGAGCAGGGTAGGACAAAGATTATCACTACTGTCGGTTTTACCAGTAGTAGTAGTAGTAGTAGTAGTAGTAGTGGTGTTGTAGCAGCAGCAGCAGTAGCAGGAGCCTGAGCAGTGGCAGTAGAAGCTGGGATTGCAGTTGTGACTCTACGCAAAGTTTCCCCTCAATTCTTCCCGCTGAGCTTCCCGCTCACAGTTGACCAGATGTCCTGCTCCAACAAATTGTAGGTTTGGCTCGGGTCTTACATTTGCAGGGATGTTCATAGTGCGTGGCTTGTGTACCAGAAGCTTCATAGACTCTCAATGCTAGCCCAAGAGCAAGAACCTAGGTATGTCGAGCTGGCAGTCCGGGATGGTGGCGCCAAGTGGATGTTTGTGCTTGATTACTTCAAGCTACCGGCAGTTGTGCTCTGTTTTTTCTGGCTTGGCTTGCTCACTTGGAGAACACGTGGTCCTGGTTCAGTATAGTTTGCCTTTCTAAGATGTTTTAACTACTCTAAATAGCATCGTCACCCCGAATCCTAATTAGGCGCTCAATCCTGAAGCGGAACATCAAACTTACGTCCAGGATCCGGGGCTGCCTTGTCTACCTGGATCCCGCGGTGCATTGCTTTGCTGCTGGTCCAGTCAAGCGCTATGTTGCTGATGGCGGCTTTCTGGCTCCCATACGAATTGATGGTGAATCGTTTTTTCAGGCCGTGGTCCATATCGGTGTCGCTCACATACATGTGGATCGTTATTGCTTGCCTGTATTCGACCCTTTACTTCCCGCCGAACTGCAGAAAGCGCAGCTCGAGTCAGCAGTAGTTTTGCCAACAGCCTGTTTCTACTTTTTGCGGAGTATGAATGGACATTGCGGAGAGCAGCCGCATCTGGCATGCGTCGTCACTGAGCAGGTGACCCTGTTTTCAACTGGACCGATGGGAATTCGAATTTACTAGTATTTGTTTCTCTCAGTATTGCTGTCCAGAACAAGGGCTCGCGAACTCTGCCAGCCTTAGAAGGTTGCTGCAACATACGTTAGAGGTCCTTTCCCGACTCCTTCTACCAGGCATTGCAGCGAGATGCCGCGGTTGGCGTGCTGCCAGTCCCGTCTGCTGCATGCCGCTTTTTATCATAGTCCGATGTTCATGAGAACACTTAAATCCTCCTGCTAAGTGCCAGAGGTGTGTGCATGTCTCCCTGGCCAAGGGACTCGGGGCAAAGGATGCCACAAGCATTTCACAAAGGAATTCTACCGGTGCCTGGACCTTCAAAGTAAGCAAAACGGTGGCCCACAACCCATGCAAGTAGTCAAAGGCCAGCAATCTACATACATTGGGGTCCAGGTTAAGAGTGAGGCTCTCATTAAAATTAAGGTCCCTATATGGCCTTGCCCCATGTTCTTAGGATTATTTCCCGCCAACTCCCGAGGTCCGGCATCCCCCTTCATCTCACACGATGGCCAGCAAGTACTGCAGGGGATAATTGCGAGCACTTTCGGGAAGTTCTGTGACAGGTAGGCCTCAGGCTTAGGGTCTTTGTTATACTTCCTGGGCAGGCTCTTTATGTGGTGGGAAGCTCATGGCAGAGCGTGGATAGCGCTTAGACAGTAAAAAATCGCATGGAAAGAAAACGAAGAAAGAAGTGGAAACTACTCCAATATCATTGGCCGACATCATGCCAAACCACTGCGTTGTAGTTTTCATTTCCCAGTTCTTGCGGTCAATGCCTCAGAGTATCATTCCTTCTCTCAGTACGACGATGGTTGCAATAAGTCTGACCTAAAACCATCCAACGCGCGCAGCACAGGTTTTTGGCCTGGGGCTTTAGGGGTTAGGGTTTCCATTGTAAGGACGATCACTTCTAAGGTGTTCGGTGTATGTACAACCCTCAGTCTATGTGGACTTTACTTCGCTGTCGGGTTTGGGTTCTAGAGCTTTGTATGATTTCGCTGGAACTATGCTTGAAAAACAAGGTGCATCATTGGAAAAGTCTGCGCGAGCAATCACCTGCCCCTAATGAATATTAAAACACCCCTCTACCCACTGATATCAAACGTGGCCCCCAATGTATTACGTCTTGTAGAGGGAACTTCGAGGGAAGCGGCAACGGTAACCCGGCTCGTCCCGAGGCCAGCGAAAATGTTTTTCCGTTGTCTGCCGCGCTTTTAGTCATGCAGATCCCGAAGCTGCGCAGACGGTCGCTTCGCAACATACATAGGGGTGCCCATTATCTGCCCACAAAACAGTTGAGCATCTTCATTGTAGAGGCTCATTCTTGTGAGAGAAGCCCGTAGAGTTACCATTATCACCCCAATTCCCCTATATAACCCTGAAGTTTCCATTTTGTTTTCCATTATTCCTATATAACCCCAATACGTAACCCCAAACCCTAAACCCTAAACCCCAATATACCTATAATCCCCCTTCTCAGCGAAGCCAGCGAAGCGAGCCTCTCCTAGAAGGCCGCCGCTGTGAGGCAAAGCTTGGGATCTCTACCTTAGTTCTACTCATGCAAGGCTGGGAATGGCCTTTAGGGTTTAGGGATTTAGTAGGGGTTTAGAGGTTTAGGGATTTAGGTGTTGAGGGCTGAATCCCCGGAAACAAACCTTGCCATAGTCCCTACAGTCCATTCTCCCATCCTCAATAAGCATGAGCAAGTAGTTGGAAGTTCGATCCTCCAAATTTTTGCCGTTTGCCAATTCGCTGTGCCAGAGACGGCGAACCAGGTAAAAAAAGCTTGAATGCTCAGCACGGCCTTCACCATCATGTGAGTTTCTTGCGACAATTGGCCCGTCAGGAGGACTCCAAAATTCACTTCATGTCTGCAGTCTGTTTGGCGATCCCATTTGAGCCAGTCGTTTTTTCCCGGGCTGTCAAGCTTCCCGAAGCAGCCTACCTGACTGCAGGAGAAGAACCAAAGGGCGGAAATCCTGGGCAGGCCAGTCATGATATAGGGAGCCTATCAGAAGAGTTTTAGCCAGGATCTGCTAGTGACCATAGGATATAGGGGCAATCTAAGGGCGTGATTAGATTTCGCCCGCAGGTCACACACACACACACTTGATCTGGT